CCCCCCCCCCCCCGGCCAGCAAACGAAGATGTCGGGGACCATTTCTCCGAGAGATAGGCTGCAGCTCTGGGTTAATACATTTTTGCTAAAGCAAAAGGAAAACTCAGGTAGCGTAACCGCTACCTTTCGTGATAAGGCCGTCCATATATACATGCACTACATTGCATGCTATCCCTTCAGGAGAACATACATATATCTATACTATACTATACATCATAATGTGTGTGTTATTATAGATATTTTAATGTATATGTATGTCTTATCAAAAAAGCAAGACATGTACCAAGAAGATCTCCGGGATCTTTCTCAAGCTGGAAGCGTTCCCCGAATCCCCTGGGTCGACTGAACCCCTCAGATCCGAGCCCGCATTCCCGTGACGCCCACCTCGGTGCCAGCAGTGATGCCTGCCTCAAGCAGCGTTTCTTCATCGTCCAACTGGTGCATCTCGAAGACCACCTCCACGATGGTCAACGCACGTGTGATCTCGTCACTCGAGTCACTGCAGCTGTAGGCCGAGTCCTTGAGCAGCTGTTTCAACTCGCGGGCGGTGGCATCCTTGCGTGAAGGCATGCTCGAAAAACACAAGGAGATCAATAAGAATATAGAACTAGGGCCGCAGTCGTTCTTGAAATGCCTCTGCCCTGATTTGATACACTCAAAGTGGGAATCAAAGGATCAAATCCCATCTCCAAGCTGGAGCAAGCTCCTCGGTCAATGGTCCAACTTCGGCCATGCGTGAAGCCAGTTCTTCCAGTCTTGACAGGCTTAAGGTCTGCTTGTCGGTGTCTTTTTTGCTTCTTCCCTCCAAGGAACGTGAAAGTCGGAAAGCGGCCTTTGTCTTCCAGGGGGTGTGCCATTTCCACGTGCCATTGGAGAGAGGGGTATCTCATGTTCTGGTTCTTGACCCTGCAACTGGTATAGGATCCATCTGAGTCACCTTAGCCCCGTTTCGTTCCACCCCAGTTCCGTGACATCTGACTCCGAGCATCTGGCAGCACATCGATCTCATCAACAGTTCCATTCAGCTGTCGTGCTTGAATTCGCATCGGCCGCCCGCCCGGCTCCGAACGACCAGGTCCCCCCGACGGCGGCGAACCCCGAAGTCCTCGAGCCGGTCGACG